GGGGGGTGTGGCTGCAGTTCTCTGTCTTGGTTTAGGAAGCGGCACCCAGGGAAAGTGGTGCTGACAAGGCTAGGGGATGGGCATCAATAATCGGCTTGAATAATAAACGCGAGCAACTCTGCAACCGCATACGAACGGATTACGAGTCATCCACTCCTTAGTAGTCCTTGTGCTTTTGACTGTGGGCGAAGGTGCAACAGGTCATCTAGTGCACTCTGAGCTCCGCTCTTTCAAAAACCTGATCCGTCATGATGTTTCGGTTGTCCTTTTGGGACGTCCGTTAAAATTCGAACAATGCAGAGAAGATTAACATGGCCCCTGCAACAAGGATGACACACGTATGACAGAAATCCCAGAGTGCAAAATCACATTGAAAGCCAGCAAGTCCAACGCTGTCCACTGAATCCGAATGTCAATGAGAGCATACTCTCGTCCCCCACCAACATATGTATCCACGACTTCCTCTTACTTGGCGCTTAGCGTCCAGACTACGATTACACAGCTTACTAGCAGCCTACGAATTGACAATGCATCCTGTTGACATCAGCAGCAGAACTGAAGTACATGAAGATGTCGACCCTTGCAGACCATCCCCAAGACCAGGTACGTGCCCTCACATCATCAACCTCATCTCTCTCTCTCTCTCACCTTTGACGGCATCACCCACGTCTTCTCCCACATACACGAAGACCACCACCACCTCCACTGGCTATGTCCAAGCCGAGCCCGGCTACGAGGGCTGGCTATGGCGATGCCCTCAGCAGCGCCCTTTCTCTCGCACAGTCGCACGCGCGCGCACACTTGCCCCTAGTGCTAATGCAGCAGCCCACGAGCGCTAGCTCCAGCAGCGCTGCTGCACGCAAGTGCCCGAATGTCTTCCCTAGGCTAGACACTTTGCTATATGCGTCGCGTGTGCATGGAAGCTTCAGGTTGGACCAAAGTGTCTGCGCCAGGCCCGTTCAGACAGGGGGGCCTGGGACTGAATTGACCACCCAGGCATAAACGTGCGGTGCTCCCTGCTTCGACCACGTTGCTGGAATAGCCTGGAAGGCTCACGCGTATTTCCGATTCTCATGAGGAAGCGGATGTAACCAATGGGTGCGTGGCAACTGTCTGACGCCCACCAAGATTTGCAAAAATTGACGAACTCGGGCCACGTCGAGATTCAGGGGGCCCGCCTTCACTTAGGGCAGGCACCCGCCTGCTGCAGGGCCTTATGCCGAGGTGTAAACCCTCACATTAAAAAAGAAAAAAGAAAAAAAAAGTTATTCCCGGTTGACAGTGATGACTGCGATGTGTGTGTGTGTGTGTGTGTGTGTGTGTGTGTGTGTGTGTGTGTGTGTGTGTTCTGGTCGCAGAAACCTTTTTTCTTTCGCGCGAAGCCTGCATTCCGGGCGGCTGCGTCAGTTGCCTTGTCCCTGACTATTCCTTTCCTCGTCATTCTCGAAGTATTGCTGTGGGTAAGCCGGCATTGGCTGAAAAGCAGCCGTGATGCACCGCTGGATCTGGAGAGAGCATGCCTCTATTTCCTCGCAGGCAGCTTTATCGTCTTCTGCTGGGAGGTGTCGCGGCATATAGTGGAGGTCAGTTGCACTTTCCCGGAGTGAGACTTTGTTTTTTGAAGTGTCTCTGAACAGTCGCTGCTTAGCTTCTCTTGCCCAGTTTAGTTTCCCTTTCCCTGAGCTTCTGTCCCATGTGACACTGCTGATGTGCCAACTCATTTTATTTATCTATTTATTTATTTATTTAGTTTAATTAGTTATTTATTTTGAAGCATTGTCTAGTGTTTTTGCTAAGTGCAGACTTCCCTTTCACCTCTGTCTTCTTGTGTTGCTGACATGCTTTGGCAGATTGTGTTTTGAATCTCTTGATGGATCTCTGCTGACCTCTGTTCAGACAAGATATAAAATTGCAGTTAGTGAACAATATTTAGTTCCAGTGTAAATAAAAAAAAAAGAAAAGGGAAAAGAACTTAAAAAAAGGTTTCAGTGTCAAGTGGCATCAGGAGGCCATAAGTTCAGTCCCC